GTATTCCTTTTAAAATAAGGCAGCTGATGTATACTTCTGGTATATCCGGAAGTCCGCCACCTCTGAAATTATTTTCCGCAAATAGATCAATAGACTAGGAACATTTTTTATTTGAAACATTTTCTTTCAATTAAGCGGCAAGACCGCCAAAGAGCAAGGCGCGCTTAATGGACTACCCTGTAAAGTTGATGTTTCAGAAAGTAAGACTATTATGATTGAACAGGACTACCATATTTCATGATAATTAAAACATTGTGAGTATTAAAATTATATTACATCAACTGACGATTTAATTACATATATTAATGTAAATTTATTTTCCGATATGATTTATTATAACCAGTCTGAGGACAGACTGATGTTCAAGATGGTCGTTTATTAGATGCGAGTTCCTGATATAAGTTCTACAGAAGGCCATGCTGACAAAAACAATGTTAGTAGAAGAGAGAGTTGTTATTATTAATTATTATTCATAATTCTTGTTTTGAAGTGTGAGACAGAAATATTAATAAACATTATTTCAAAGAATCTAACAAAAACAACCATCAAAATTGAAATACCTAAAGGTTAATTACAAATTTAAGAAATCAAATAAATATAGTTATTAATCGTAAAATGTAGCAGGTGAAACAATTTACAATAGTTTTAAAGTTAAACAACTTTTGAATCAATTTTTCAAAGTAGTTTTATTTTTTTTTATTATTATTATTCCTTTACTTCATCATAATATTTGCCATCATCTACACACGCCTTTTTATGCTTTCTGTCTCGTACATAATCTTCTATCATTCTTCAAATCAATCTTTAATTTTTTTAGCTACAAAATTCATTGCATTACTTTCTTGCTTGGTTTACTGTACGGTTATAATGTTTTTTCCGTGGGTGAAATAAAAATTCCCGAGTTTTAAAAGAAGTCATTTTTGATTTTTTAAATAAGGTACATTTTTAATAATAAATAGATGGATAACATTAAAACTTAAAAACCTTATCTTTAAGTATATTAAGTTATATTTTTAAACTGCTGCAGCAACATCGGCTATCATGATATGTACATATTACAAACTGATATTATAAAAGAAAAAATAATTTTAAACGGAAAACTCAATACGACTACGTCCTATATGGACGGTACTCAGGGGACTAACTGCTAACCAAAAAACCAACCATAACCTAAACCAACCTGGTCGAATTTAAAGTCACTCCAAATTATTTTACTATGTTAGATGTAGTTCACTTATATTAAGGTAGGATGGATTACATTTTCTTCAATAGGTAAAAACTCAGGACACTAATTGTTATTCATCCTTCCTTTAAGAACTTAAAAACCTAACCCAACCAACGCTTACCATATTCGAATATAAAATAACTCCAAATTTTTTTACTGTGTTAGATAAGGTTCAGTTGGTTGGATTAGGTTACCTATTCAAATTTTCGAATTTTCATCTTCTTCAGTTTAAAAACACTTTTTTAGTCGACCCACTCCCACCAAACCACCTATAAAAAACATAATGCAGCTTGGTAATACCTCAATAATGTAGAAATTTACCTTAATAAGATTACAATTATTTACATAATGTTAATTTACCGATTAATATTTACGTAACTTACATTTTTTTTTTCTTTTATGTTCTTACATTTGTAAGTATTGCTGTAATGTACTTATTCTTTCAACATATTACGTGTAGTACTAAATTGTTTATGTTTATTTGTTTATACTGGACGGAAATGTTTACTTCTTCCATCCATATAGTTGCAGAGTTTTTAACGCACTACGCTATTCACTGTCAGTGTTAGAAACCTATGTTGCCAATTCACGGACAGGACCGGCTTGCCTTTAAACACTGTTGAACACACCGTAGGATTGTTTTTTGCATCTACTTTACACCCTCCTATGCTAGGGGTTTATTTCTGTTACACCCTATATTAATGAACTTCCTTATTAAATCAAAACTTTATAAACCATTTTTATCATATAATCCACATTATATATTTTATACAACTGAATCCAATTAATGTTCAGTAAAGTATTATTAACGGCATCAAAATTAGTTTGTTTGAAATTATATCTAAAATATTCTAACTACTAACTAATTACCTATTAATATTTAGTTAACGTTAATTATATCTTTTTCTTCTGTTCTTAATACCATTTTGACGTGTATTTTAATATATGCAATGAACAATGTTGTTTATTTGGTTAATTTTTATGGTAATGGCAGTAAAAATATTATCGTGTGTAGTAGTAAACNTATACAACTGAATCCAATTAATGTTCAGTAAAGTATTATTAACGGCATCAAAATTAGTTTGTTTGAAATTATATCTAAAATATTCTAACTACTAACTAATTTTCTAATTTCATTACATGTACAGTACCAGTTATTGTAGGATGATAGTCGTATTCACGTATTAACAGTGGAGATTTGTAAATTTTTAAATCAAAATTAGAAAAACATAAAGTAATATAACAACTTAACTCTCAGAAAGTCTAATTTTCCGTCAATAAGGGTGAGAATAATATAAATTCGATTGACTTACCTGAAGAAATTGGTTCTACGCAGGCCGCCTGCGTCGCCAAATACTATTAGAGGCATCACCGTCGGCGTCGTTATCGTTTGTAGTTCTTATTCAGTCGCGACTTCTTCTCGGTCGTCCAACTTTCCCTTTACGTACCGTCGGCGCTGCCGCGGAATTTTTGAGGAGCTTATGCCAGTCCTGTTCGCAAACAAGGCTACCGGCTAACATGTAATACCGATCACCTGGCATCAGTTGTACACCGCACTTGCTACACGCGAAACACTTTAGATGAAACACATGGTGCGTTGGTATACCGCCTCCTTGTTGACCACCTCTTTGACCACCTTGACCAGGTGACGGGGGCACGCCACTGCGCATCACATATTCACTAGCAGGGATTTTTTGACCGCAAGCAGAGCACGCACCTGAGCCAAACATCCTGAAAAAATAAAATACAATAGTAATATCCATATAACTGCCTATTTTAAGCTCACAAGGTTATTTGTATGTTATTAATACTAAAACGATCATTAAAAGAATCTTGTCTGTATGTCTGTATGCATGGGCTACTTTTCTAAACAGCTTAACCGACCGTTGCACATGAATTCCATCTTGATAACGGGGTGATATTACTACCGCTTATCAATTATTAGACAAAGTAAATACATGAATTCCGTCCCGTTGCAGAAGTTGTAAAAAATTATAGTAGCAAGAAATACATACAAGGAGTGAATTGTTGCCAAATGAACTCACTCGTCTCCCCGTTCGTCGTACACGTTTTAGTTATTATGCCTATATTAGACGCAGTTCAACAAATAAAAAACGCTAATAGCAGCCAAAAGAATAGGAGAAAAGAACTCTATGGAATTCAATAAGCAATAACGAGATAGATTGGTAGGGCACCTTCTCAGGCATGAAAATTTAGACAGAGACAGAAACGGGAGTTGGGAGGAGTAGATGTAGACCTAGATTAGATTACTATTCGCATATAGTTAAGGACGTGGGTTGCTATACTTTTAGGGAAATGCGAAAATTAGGTCAGGATAGAAAAGAGTGGAGGTGGGTGTCCAACCAGTGTTAGGATTGACGACCTTATTATGATGAATAGCAGCCATTATGAATGTGTTTCTCCCCAATTGTCGAATATTTGAGAGGTGGGAGAACTTTTATCCGCCAAAACCTAACCTAACCCAAGTTCGTACCTTTTCAGAACTCCAATCAAGTCGCTTTAGTAAATGATACGTAGGTACCAGTAGAAAACAGCGATCTTATTAATAATAATATGAACATATCATGCTACATACCAAATGTAATATCTAGCAACGCTGCTGTCTTTTTCTGCAAAATGTCACTAATGGGACGGAATTCATAGATAACTAGCAGCGAAACCCGGCGTTGCTCGGGTTAAAATACATCCCATGTTAATGGTATATAAAATTTTTAAGGATCCACTTTTTAACGTAGATAATATAGATTTCTATCTTAGATACCACCCTGTACCTTTATNAAATTTTTTTACTGTGTTAGATAAGGTTCAGTTGGTTGGATTAGGTTACCTATTCAAATTTTCGAATTTTCATCTTCTTCAGTTTAAAAACACTTTTTTAGTCGACCCACTCCCACCAAACCACCTATAAAAAACATAATGCAGCTTGGTAATACCTCAATAATGTAGAAATTTACCTTAATAAGATTACAATTATTTACATAATGTTAATTTACCGATTAATATTTACGTAACTTACATTTTTTTTTTCTTTTATGTTCTTACATTTGTAAGTATTGCTGTAATGTACTTATTCTTTCAACATATTACGTGTAGTACTAAATTGTTTATGTTTATTTGTTTATACTGGACGGAAATGTTTACTTCTTCCATCCATATAGTTGCAGAGTTTTTAACGCACTACGCTATTCACTGTCAGTGTTAGAAACCTATGTTGCCAATTCACGGACAGGACCGGCTTGCCTTTAAACACTGTTGAACACACCGTAGGATTGTTTTTTGCATCTACTTTACACCCTCCTATGCTAGGGGTTTATTTCTGTTACACCCTATATTAATGAACTTCCTTATTAAATCAAAACTTTATAAACCATTTTTATCATATAATCCACATTATATATTTTATACAACTGAATCCAATTAATGTTCAGTAAAGTATTATTAACGGCATCAAAATTAGTTTGTTTGAAATTATATCTAAAATATTCTAACTACTAACTAATTTTCTAATTTCATTACATGTACAGTACCAGTTATTGTAGGATGATAGTCGTATTCACGTATTAACAGTGGAGATTTGTAAATTTTTAAATCAAAATTAGAAAAACATAAAGTAATATAACAACTTAACTCTCAGAAAGTCTAATTTTCCGTCAATAAGGGTGAGAATAATATAAATTCGATTGACTTACCTGAAGAAATTGGTTCTACGCAGGCCGCCTGCGTCGCCAAATACTATTAGAGGCATCACCGTCGGCGTCGTTATCGTTTGTAGTTCTTATTCAGTCGCGACTTCTTCTCGGTCGTCCAACTTTCCCTTTACGTACCGTCGGCGCTGCCGCGGAATTTTTGAGGAGCTTATGCCAGTCCTGTTCGCAAACAAGGCTACCGGCTAACATGTAATACCGATCACCTGGCATCAGTTGTACACCGCACTTGCTACACGCGAAACACTTTAGATGAAACACATGGTGCGTTGGTATACCGCCTCCTTGTTGACCACCTCTTTGACCACCTTGACCAGGTGACGGGGGCACGCCACTGCGCATCACATGTTCACTAGCAGGGATTTTTTGACCGCAAGCAGAGCACGCACCTGAGCCAAACATCCTGAAAAAATAAAATACAATAGTAATATCCATATAACTGCCTATTTTAAGCTCACAAGGTTATTTGTATGTTATTAATACTAAAACGATCATTAAAAGAATCTTGTCTGTATGTCTGTATGCATGGGCTACTTTTCTAAACAGCTTAACCGACCGTTGCACATGAATTCCATCTTGATAACGGGGTGATATTACTACCGCTTATCAATTATTAGACAAAGTAAATACATGAATTCCGTCCCGTTGCAGAAGTTGTAAAAAATTATAGTAGCAAGAAATACATACAAGGAGTGAATTGTTGCCAAATGAACTCACTCGTCTCCCCGTTCGTCGTACACGTTTTAGTTATTATGCCTATATTAGACGCAGTTCAACAAATAAAAAACGCTAATAGCAGCCAAAAGAATAGGAGAAAAGAACTCTATGGAATTCAATAAGCAATAACGAGATAGATTGGTAGGGCACCTTCTCAGGCATGAAAATTTAGACAGAGACAGAAACGGGAGTTGGGAGGAGTAGATGTAGACCTAGATTAGATTACTATTCGCATATAGTTAAGGACGTGGGTTGCTATACTTTTAGGGAAATGCGAAAATTAGGTCAGGATAGAAAAGAGTGGAGGTGGGTGTCCAACCAGTGTTAGGATTGACGACCTTATTATGATGAATAGCAGCCATTATGAATGTGTTTCTCCCCAATTGTCGAATATTTGAGAGGTGGGAGAACTTTTATCCGCCAAAACCTAACCTAACCCAAGTTCGTACCTTTTCAGAACTCCAATCAAGTCGCTTTAGTAAATGATACGTAGGTACCAGTAGAAAACAGCGATCTTATTAATAATAATATGAACATATCATGCTACATACCAAATGTAATATCTAGCAACGCTGCTGTCTTTTTCTGCAAAATGTCACTAATGGGACGGAATTCATAGATAACTAGCAGCGAAACCCGGCGTTGCTCGGGTTAAAATACATCCCATTTTAATGGTATATAAAATTTTTAAGGATCCACTTTTTAACGTAGATAATATAGATTTCTATCTTAGATACCACCCTGTACTTTTATAAAATTCCTTAATAATAGTAGATCGTTCTAGAATATTCTAGAATATTTGGACGAAATCTAAAAAATTCTAGAAATCCTTAATAATTAATTGCGGACATTTGGAACTTTCCAGATTATTCCAGATATTTCTAGAACTTACTGGACCATTCCATATCGATTTTAACAGTTGCACACAATTTAGAACTTGCTAGATAATTCCAGATATTTCTCAAACTTTCTGGAACATTCCATATCGATTTTTAACAGTTGCACAAAATTTGGAACTTTCTAGATCATTCCAGACATTTTTAGAACATTCTAGATCGATTGTAACAGTTGCACACCATCTGGAGTTTTCTGGATCATTTCAGAAATATTTAGAACTTTCCAAACGGTCTCATAAGTTAGAAAAGGACAGATATTTTTCACATATTCGGCACCCACAACCACCCACTTCCACCCACCGCCACCGCGACCAAACTCCCTTACTTTCAGCAGGAGACCAAGAGGTATTTACCACCCCAACGGGATGTTGATAGGAGTTCGTGGTGATAGAGAAAACCCTGTCTTTAGTATTATAAATATATATATATATATATATATATATACAGGAACAGGAAGTAGAAAGGAGTTACAGAGGTTTTTGGATACTAAGTACAACCAAAACCAATCAAAGTCGACAAAAGAACGTGCAACTTACTTGTAAAACAGTACAGCAGACGGAAAAAAAACTCTTGTTGCGTCCAACAGTTGTCCTTCGCTGATTCCTGTTGTTGTCCAGGCGTTGAGGAAATTGTTCGAAGAGTTGAAACTCACCAAGTCGAGAAACGAATACACTTTTCCCAACAATGTAACAAATTTATCCCACTTCTGACACCAAAATTTTAATGTCAGGGCTTCTGACACCAGGCAGTCTTTTCTATGTGTTTGCCGACACAATAACAATTCCTTAATAATAAAAGGGGCGAGCGAAGTAAGTTAAACTAATTTATTTGTCCCTTACTTTGGTACAGTGATGGTTGTACAATGTTAAAATTAGAGGTTCTGATTAAGTGAAGGTCTAAACTGCAACTGACTGATTGACTGACTTGAGTATGTTTTTAAATATACAACTGTTTTTACCCCCAAGATGCTTTTAGACATTTTTTACTTACGGTATTCGTTGAGACATAGAAAAATAAGGTTGAGAAGTGAAACTGCAATAAATCTATCAATAATGAATTTTGAAACTGAAATGGATATGTAAAAGAATCTTGAGTTTTCTCACAAGCGATAAACTAGAGGTTTTAAGTACACAGATGACAGAAACAAGCGAACAGCAATAGAATGAAATATGAGAAAAGGGGTGATTTTAAGCTAGACCAGGCTACAAATTAATGACACAAAAAAATGGAAAACGAAATGAATACAAGTTACAAGAAATATGATATAAGGTTAAGATTAGTGTTATTTGAAAGAAGTTATTGAAAAGTGCACTTTTAACATTAGATACATAACTTTGGTATTAAATAACATGGACCAGTGATAAAATATGAGAGGTATCTAACACCTCCCCTCTTTTGGAATTTTGGTGGAGATAAGTTGAACATCAAAATTTAAAACACATAATAAACAATTAAACACAATAATAATAAATCGTAACACAAAAGAAAATACGACAAAATACTGTTGTTTGAAGTTATAAGGTACTTACATATAAAATACTAGACAATACAGAGAAAATTAGATAAGAGACATTAATTATTTGAATTTATAAAATAGATATACATATATATATATA